TAGATAACCAGAAACGAGATTGGGACAAGCACATACAACCGTTTTTGTTGTCATATAGAAGCGCTGTTCACGAAAGTACATCAGTGACACCAGCTTTCGAAAACTTTGGAAGAGAATTACGGCTGCCTGCAGACCTGATCACCGGGATATCACCTGATGCCCCACGCAGTATAACCGATTATGCAAATGACTTGCGGAACAAAATGAATGACATTTATGAGCACGTCGGACAATCGTGCCAGCGAATGTCTGAAAAGATGAAAACCAGGTATGACCGCAAAATTAACAACAAAGGGTTCGACGAAGGTTCACTAGTATAATTGCACAATCCAGTCCGCAGCAAAGGGAAATCTCCTAAGCTTCAAGCTAAATGGGACGGCCCGTAATGGATTGTGACCAGGATCAACGATGTAACTTACTGGATACAGAAAGGCGCAAGAGGGACTCCTAAGATCGTCCATGTGGATCGCCTGGCTCGTTATTATGGGGCCGATAATGCTCTAATTGGGACGAGCACGTCTTAGGAGGGGGCAGTGTTGCTCGCCCAAGTTAACGTCAGGTACCTGGCACTAGCGCCATCTAGTGTCGGGGACAAGAGCGAGGAGGGCTTCCTAGAAAATGTCAATCTTGACTTTCGACCAACAGCGCCATTTAGTATCGAACAGAAGAATTAAGCTTACTAGAAGAACCACACTCGAACTTTCTGCGTCTGGTCGGTCGGCGCCCGTATCTACTGGAATATTCTGGATGTTTCGGCGTAAAAGGTGTATTTAAAGCCGCTGCATGCCGCGATCGGGGCAGTATCGAATTTGGGGAGACAAGCGAAGCTTCGGAGCGAAATAAGTGAATCAGTGTGATTATTTATTAGTGTTTTTTAAGTTTTAATTGGTGTTCAGTAATAAAAGTGTAAATTTTGGTAATTCAATCGGCAGTTTTTATTGACACGAACCTCAAGCTCGTAACAATAAGAAGGATGTCCACAATAGGACTATATGTTTCCTTTATGTATATTCTTATTGTTTTGTGCGGTGTGAGTGAAAATGCAACATTAATGATTCTTAATGGCACGAGGTGTAAATGTCAACAGAACCTTTTTATCATCAGGTGGGGACTGTGTGCTCGTTTATCACACTAATTCTATAGCAAAAATATTTTTTAGATACTTTCTTCTTTTAACTATTTTACAAATAAAAAGACCTATGGACATATAACAGTTTAAAGGAAATGAAACGGGTTAAGTTCGATGCTCAAATTAACTCTTCAAAATGCAGTTCTGATAACGAAGGATCGGAACGATTCTTCGTCATTTTCTGAGCTTGATTCTTCGTCATTTTCTGAGCTTTATTCATCATAATGTTTATGAAATTAGTGTGATGAATCAAGCTCAGAAGATGACGACGAATCTTCTAACACAGACAGTGAAGATGAAGAAAAGATGACACCAGTAACTGTGCTGGAGTATAAAATAGAAGGTTAGTAATATACTACTCAAGTAATTAAAAATCAGGGACGATGGTGAAAAAATTAACATGAACCTTTTTTGTTATAGGAGAGGGGACAAACTCACAATACCATCCACACACTGGATGCTTGGTCATCCACATATGTGCAATTTACTATAAGTATTCTTCGTCGCACGATTTCTTTGTGAAATCTTTTGCCTCCGGTGATTTTTCCGGACTGACACGACTTACGGACCTTAACAAACGAGCTCACACCTTTTTGAAAGGCCGGCAACGCTGGTGGTGATCGTGACAACTACCATTACGTGAGCCGCATGCTCGTTTGTTCCCCTAAATAATAAAATTAAGTAATTTATCGTGTACAAATTACAAAATTATATTGAAAAACTTTTTATTGTATACTAGTAAAAAGGAATTCTATCTTAGTACTCAGTGACGTTAATGCATCTGGATTTAATATGAACTGATTGCAGCTAAATATACACTCATTTTTAACTCTGCGGCGTCATGCTACCGATTAGTTTAGCGCAAAATAATTCCATTAATATTCTTAAAGAACTATAACCCTTAACCACCTGCCATACGTCTCACAGATCTTGTGGAATTTATAATCGTAAATATTGTTGCGCCCGAGTCGCGTATGAACTTGTCGGTTCATGTACCTTTTCCCTTTCCCTCCTCAGTACCGCGTAATGGCTCGTCGAGGTTGGACGCACGTTCGTTTGTCTCTGGCGAGTAAAAAACTTTCGTTCGGGGTCTCGGAGACCTCTGATAGGTGGTTGTGTGATTTTTTTAATACAGGTATTTTTTTTTGTTTAGAAAAAAATGGTTCTAACGACTTAAATATTGAGCGGTGGTTAGAAGAAGACCTATTAGATGAAGAAACATACCAAACGATGAATGTAGCGACGTGGATTGTGACGTAGACTTGAATCATGTGTTAGAAGAAAGTTATGGATCAGATTCCGAATGTGAAGAGGCAGCTGAGAGGGAAAATTCTTTGTGTCAAAATTCTTTATCTTTGATTCCACCAGATGATGAAGCGTTTACATCTGAAGATGATGAGCCCCTATCACAAATGCGATCGCGGCCAAGGGAAACGAACTTTTTCGGAAAAAATCGCTTTCGATGGTCTTCCGTACCTCCTTCCTCTCGATCGCGAACAATACATCATAATATTGTGCAAGAACCACCTGGAGTAAGGTCAACATATCAGAGTAAGCTAAATGCATCATCTTCTCCGCTAGATATTTGGCAAAACTTATTTACAGACGAAATGCTTGAAAAATATATTGTAAACACTAACGGGAAGATAAATTAAATAAGGCCGAACTATCAAAATAAAATCTGTGTTCAAGATTTAGACCTCCTTGAATTGAAGGCATTTATTGGATTCCTGTTTTATACGGCAATTTTCAAAGAAAACCACGAGGACTACACGTCATGGTATTCTACGGACGGCACTGGTCGGGAAATTTACCGCTGCATTATGAGTAAAAATAGGCTCGAAGTATTACTAAATTCAATACGTTTTCACAATGCAGCGACCAGACAGGTCCGACATGAAGTTGATGCAGCTGTACCTATAACTGACCTCTTTGATTCCTTCATTTCCCGTTGACAGGCTATTTGTGCAATCGGCAGTTATGCATGTATTGAGATGTTGGTTGCGTTCCGGGGACGATGCAGGTTTAAAGTATTCATGTCAAAGAAGCCAGCTAAGTACGGGATAAAAATTCAATGTCTTACAGATGCAAGATCTGGCTACTTACTCAATGCCTATTTATACAAAGGCAAAGATTCTGACGGACTTAACTTACCAGCTGAATGTCAGCAACTAAAGAAACCAACTAAAGCAGTTATTCGTCTCATTCCTCCAATTGCAGGTTCCAACAGAAATGTCACAGCTGATAATTGGTATACTTCTATTGAGCTCTTAGACTAACTAAAAAAGAAACAGTTGACGGGTGTGATTTAAGAAACGCTATTGGGCGCGTTCTCACGCGAAACGAGGTTGCCACTCCATCAGTTTCAAGTGGTAGCAATGCTGAAGAAAGGCTGGTAGTTCGCAAGAATTGTACAACTTGTGATTACACAAAAAAACGCAAAACACAATACATGTGTTTTGAATGTAAATCACCAATTTGCCTTGAATGCTCTAATAAAATGTGTTTTCGCTGCCGTGAAAAACTATAATTTCAGGGTCTGCAATTTTGTGGAAATTTTAATTTTTTTAAACTGATTTTTGTTGTTTAATTTGCTGATTATTTAGTAATTAGAAAAGAGCATTACTAGTTTCCTATAAAATTTTATTACTTTTGGAGATATTATTTACCAAATATGTTAGTTTATAAGCAAGTAATAAGAGATGTTGATTTATTATGAAGACATTATTTAAAACTTAAGTTTTTTCTTTGCTGTTCATGTTGTAATAAAGAATTTAAGAAATATTGAAACGAATTATAATTAAAAAAATAAACCTCCCACACATTTATTTTAAAACTTTAGACGAATTTAAGACCTGGGTCCCACAGACGTATGGCAGGTGATAGTGTAACAAAAATGTATGCTAGGTGGTCAAGGGTTAAGTTCTTGAGCGAATAAAAGTGTGTTTACGGCGAACTTCCGAGCTATTAGAGAATAGTTCAAAACTGTTAGTTTTTTAAGAATTATGGTGACATGCGAGCACACAGGTAACCATAATTGGTGGTTTCAAGTGGATACTGTAGGCCATAGAGATACTGCTATTGTCGAATAAGAATGCAGATGCGTTATCGCTCTGAGGATTGTTTATAGCTACAATATGGCGCTACCACGTAGAAAAAGCAGTTCTAATGAAAACAGTACACATTAGATATTATGAACAAGCTTTTTTATGCTAATATTGTTATGTGCGGTGTGAATGTAAATGCCGATGAATATCGGAAGCGTATGTACTTTTCTATACACAGCAAGTGTACAATCAAGTTGACCAAAACCGCTAAGCGTCTTCATCGTGGCAAATATGGTATATGTGCCCACTATGAAACAATCTAGTGTAGAGGCCTATGTTGAGCAATGGAATTTTGATAGGCTGTAATGATAATGACCATGATGATGAAACCACCAGAATTTTTTTAATATGAGAGGGGTAAAACGAGCATGCGGCTCACCCGATGATAAGTGACAACCGCCGCCCATGAACAACTGCAAAACCAGGGGAATTACATTACATTATATGCGTTGCTGGCCTTTAAAAAAAGAGTAGGCTCTTTTCTTGTGATGTGCGATGGTGAAATTGAGCGGTTGGAATTAGTCCAAACAATTCCTGTGAGCACTCCCCATAGTAAATACGATAGAATATGCAAAGAGAAAGAGAAAGAGATTTGCGATATGATTCTCAATCGCAGGTGGTGTAAATGTCTACAGCACCTTTTTATCATCAGTTGGACTGCGTGCTCGTTTATCACACTAATTCTATAACAAAAATATTTTTTAGATAGTTCATCTATTTTACATATAAAAAGACATATAAAAGCAGTCAACAGTTTAAAAGAAATGAAACGGGTTAAATTTGGTGTTCAAATTAACTCTTCAAAATCTAGTTCAGATAACGAAGGATCTGATCATAACCAGTGTGATGCATCAAATTTAGAAGATGACGAGGAATCTTCTAATACAGACAGTGAAGTTGAAGAAGATATGACACCAGTGACATTGCTGGAGTATACAACAGAAGGTTAGTAATATACCACTCAAGTACTTCAAAATCAGGGACGATGATGAAAGAATTAACATGAATCTTTTTATTTTTAGTCCACATTAAAAAAGGTATACCTCAATCTCTGAAAACTAAAGTGTGTAACCAGTGCGTGTTGCCAGTGATGACTTACAGATCTGAGACGTGGTCCTTCACTGCTGGTCGTATAAGGACGCTCAAGGTCGCTCAGCGAGCTATGGAGAGGGCTATGCTCGGAGTTTCTCGGCGTGATAGACTCAGAAATGAGGATATCCGCAGTAAAACCAGAGTGACCGACATAGCCCAACGGATAAGTAAGCTGAAGTGGCAATGGGCCGGCCATATAGCTCGAAGAACCGATAACCGATGGGGAAGAAAGGTTCTCGAGTGGCAGCCTCGTACCGGAAGGCGTAGTGTAGGGCGACCCCCCACTATATGGAGTGAAGTCGATGGATGCAGGTGGCTCAGGACCGTGCTTTGTGGCATTACTTGGGGGAGGCCTATGTTCAGCAGTGGACTTGTAAAGGGCTGTAATGATGATTATGATGATGATGATTAAAAAAGACGGATTTCCACAACAGGACTATATATTTTCTTTATGTATGTTCTTATTATTTTGTGCGGTGTGAGTGAAAATGCCGATGAAGATCAGAAACGGACCTATTTTATCACACAACTAGTGGAATTGGCGATCCGTTGCCGGCCTTTTAAAAAAGAGTAAGCTCTTTTCCTGAAGGTCCCTAAGTCGCATCGGTCCAAAAAATCGCTGGTGGTAGTCGATTCTATAAAGAAGTTGTACGAGAAAGAAAACTCTTTGTAAATCGCACAGTAGTGGACCGCCAATCACACAAGTGGTAAAGATGGTATCTCTAGTTATGTCGCAATGTGCGATGGTGAAATTGAGCAGCTGGAATTATTCAGAACAATTGCTCTGAGCACTCCCCGTGGTAAATACGATAGAATATGCAAAGAGATGCAATATCTTTCCGCAGCGCCAATGAGTCAAGTCTATCAGAAAATGCTCGGTCGCTGACGATTCGAACCGCTCTGTGCTAGATGCGGTGAAGATCGGGTCAGATGCGTGATGAATGGTGGTCAGGTTCGAGATCGTCGGGAAAATATGAAATTGTTTATTGAAATTTTGAGTGAAATTTTGATTTACATATCATATACTCATCTGAAAATGAAACACCTGAGCAAACCTGCATATTAATTGCTGTGGACATGCTTGCTCTCTTCCTTAAGAGAGTTTAGAGCATGGAAGAGTATGCTCCAATGTATTTCGGGTTTAAAGACATTCAAAGATTTTTTGTATGCATTCATCTATATGACGTTTGTAGTACGTATGAGTCGGCTCGACCAGGGTAGGACCACTTTATCACAGAATTCCGGCGTAAAATATTATTTTAATGCTGCTATTTTCCTTGTATTTAGTGTAAAAAACTGGGGGATAATTTTATTGCAAACGTGACATTACATCTTAGCCCTCAGGAGATTTTATCACCTATTTGCATTATGATTCTTAATCGCAGGTAGGTGTAAATGTCTACAGCACCTTTTTATCATCAGTTGGACTGCGTGCTCGTTTATCACACTAATTTTTTAACAAAAATATTTTTAGATACTTCATCTATTTTACAAATAAAAAGACGTATAAAAGCAGACAACAGTTTAAAAGAAACGAAGTGGGTTAAATTCCAGACCAAAACCAGTGTGATGAATCAAGCTCAGAAGCTGACGACGAATCTTCTAATAAAGAGAGTGAAGATGAGGAAGATATAACACCAGTACCTGTGCTAGAGTATTGAATAGAAGGTTAGTAATAAACCACTCAAATACTTCAAAATCAGGAACGATGACGAAAGAATTAACATGAACCTTTTTATTTTTAGTCGACCTTAAAAAGAAGAATGTCCACAATAGGACTATATGTTTTGTTTGTGTATGTTTTTATTGTTTTGTGCGGTGTGAAGATCAGAAATGGACGTATTTTATCATACACAGCAAGTTTACAATCAAGTTAACCAAAACCACTAAGCGTCTTCATCGTGGCAAATACGGCATATGTGCCTATGAAACAATCTATGGTAGAGGTCTATGTGGAGCAATAGAATTTTGATAGGGTGTAATTATAATGACGATGATGATGAAAACTCCCTAGATTTTTTTATATGAGAGGGGCCAAAAAAGCATGCGGCTCACTTGATGGTAAATGACTTCCGCCGCCCAATAATAATTGCAACACCAGGTCTCGGTTTTAAACTCGAGTTACGCAATTCAAATTAGCTGAACGAACCTGTGTCAATTGGACACATATTATTTTTCTAATTGTTCTTCCGTACAACATAATTATCATTACTTAATATATTTTTTGTTTGCGTATCGACAAACTTCATAAAATAATATGACTCTCTAACGTTATGACTAAAGATCGGATAATCGGATGCATATTTGCCTAAAGCCAGCTTTTGGCTCACAAAATATGGAAGAGGCTTCTTAGGATATTTTTAATAAAAATATTCCGGGATTCCGGGATCGTATAACTAATCGGATGTATATTTAGTTGTTGAACATGATGGTGTTACGTCTGATTCTACTGACTATTCAAAACTTCTTTCTTCTTATTCAGAGAATTGTAGTATACAATAATAATTTTCTCGAAGTTATTATTTGTTAGTCTATCCAAATCTACAGAAGTAATTGGCACAAATTTGTAAACAACACAGTCATTTTATTTATTACATGTTTTGCTTATTTTCTTAAGAACATCAAAATCAGGGTTTCTATCCATGACTTGCCCCATTTTGTTGATAAACGTTTTATTTGTTGTCTCGTTTAAAATGAATTTTACGTCGACAAATATTTCTAATATTTCTGTTATATACAGGTCACATTTTTCTAATTTTACTATTTGAACACGTAAAGTTTTGAAAACTTACTTTATACTTAACATATACACTAAATCATTCTTCAAATTAGGTATAGCTAGTACTTTTCCGGGATTTCTAATGGATATGGCTTCGTTGCCATCAAATAAAAAACACTTAATATATTGTCTAAATGTTTGGCATAGTAAAATGCCGCCTCTAGCCATGTTCCCCACCTAGTGATAACTAGTAAAGGTAAATTTGGATGTAGTTCATATAAAATTCGTACTCTGTTGGGAGCTTTTAAAAATATTTTTTAACATTATTAATTAGACATTACCGTAGCTTAAACGTATTGTCTCTGTTAATCTGTGCAAGGCATGAACTAAACACGTAAAATGTTTTATATTTGGGAAATGTATTTTCTAATATTTTACAAGTCATATATACACTAAGCTGTCGCCACATAACATTAAGACGTCCTGCACTTTTTTGTTGAATTGGTCTCCCCATAAGTTTTTTAGACATTGAATCACAAACTCGGACATAGTACGACCGTAAACCACATCTAAAGTTTGACAATTTAAAATTAAAATCATCCCTATTAGTTTTTATTTAATGGTTTTACTAAAAAATTTACAACATTTTGTTCAAGAAAGTCGGTGGTTTCGTCTAAAGATGTCCATATCTTATCGTTTTGTTCTTCATCGTGGATAAGTTTCATTTTATCTTCATTTTGTTCTATATTTTGTATGTATTTTGTTTTTTTTTGCGGTTATAAATGAATTATTCTTTAAATAATGGGCCCGATTTGACACTTGTTTCAATGTAATAAGGTTAGTTTTGTTTCGTCAAAAATCACTGGAAGTAAAATTATGGAAAAGCAACCAACAGGGCAACTTTCAGTGGGTCAAACTAGGTTAACTGCATCTCACGGTCACGGAGTATACATTTAAATTAGAATTTTCTGGAATCGCAGGGTTTTTTTTTCTATAAAAAAGTACTTTCCATAACAGCTAACATCTCAACTTAAGGTAAATATGCATCCGAATATCCGATCCATAGTTATGACATAAGTCTTATTGTTATTAACAATTTGATATTACATAATAAACATATTACGTAATATCAATTTATAATTATATTATATAATATATCAATAAATTGCTTGAATTAGTAAGTCGATTTCATCACTAAATTGTAGACAGACACTGCATTGACTCCAGTAGAATTTTGTGACTCGGGTTAATTTAAGTATGTATGTCATTCTAGTTGCACACGAGTGTTTGAGTAAATCAACTATTTACAGTCCTTGAATCGAGTAAAAGTTTATCACTAGAGTTGAGTGTAGCGATTACTTTAGTTTAACCATTTTTAAATATGTACCTTCATTAAATAAGTAATATGTGGCAGTATGAATGTTCTTTTTCATGTTTGTAGTATTTTAAAATCTATAAACTGCTTTTTACATAACTTACAAACCACTTTCTTCATGATAATCTTTTTTTTTTTCAAAATAAAGGCACAATGACGGTTTTTGCTTTGTTTTTTCATTGTTATCACTCATACTTTAAACAAACAAGTATATGTCAATCACCTTCTATGTTATGCACTACTTATATGAAGTAAAAAATAAATAATCAGCAATGATAGTACAACCACGATATTATAAATCAAACTACGTTCACATATGCTTACAACATGCCAGATGTAGCACCACCATGTGTATTAGTTGAAGCACGAATGGGTCGGCTTGGTCGGAGTAAGAACACGCTCTCACAGAATAACGGCGCAAAATAGCAGTTTATAGAAATTCGTAAGGTGTTTCCTATGGTGAGTGTGGAGAACTTGAGAACCTTTTTCTGTAAACAAGACATTCGATCTTAGTCTTAGGACCTAAGGAAAGACATCTTTGGATGCGATCATAAAAATATGTGCGTTTAAACCATGGTTGATTAACCAAGTATTACACGATCGGTTATTTTTGTGTCCGACAGACATAAACAAAATATTAAAATGTATCGCTAGTTCTTGAATTAGTCCGATTCATCTAATTAGTACGTTGTCCGATTCCATAGGTTTTTGGATCGATTCATCGAAACGATGTAATGTTTTGGCACTATTTTATACAAAATAATCGCAAACAAATAAAAACACAGGTCTTAGAACTTTTAATGGTTTACTAATAAAGAAATAATGGAACTCTTATCTTAAAGATAACTTCCACTTTGGGTGTTCAACTCCTTACCATGAACCTTGTTCCTTTAAAGTCCTTAAGATTGATTTACCTCAGCATAGTTCAGGCAATACTTCTCTGGAACGCCTTGCCCGTTGATATAAGAAAAGCATCAAATAAGTATAAGTTTAAAAAACTAGTTCGGGAACACTATCTTGAGGAAAACTCCATTTGACCATTCTATTTCTATCTTTATATTTCTATATAATAATCGTTATATATATTATATGTGTGTGTGTGTGTATGTATATATGTGTGCATTTGTGTTTATATACCTATATTCATAATTTATTTATTATTTTATTTTCTATATGTATACTAGTATGTATGCATGTATATTTATTTACAATATATGTCTATTCATTTTAATATTTTAGTACCTACCAACTATTACATGTCAAATTCTCCCAGGGTTGACTGGTAGAGAATGCCATAAAGCATTAAGTCCGCCCATTGTAACCGTTAGGTTAAGATGTAAAACAATGAAGATTAAACGAACACGAATATAAATTAAAATTACCTATCACTAATATCCAATTACCAAAGAATAAAAGAGGACATACCATGCATGAATACCGTACGATTCTATACAGAAAGAAAATAGGGTATTATGTTTCTTTCTAACGTGTTCGGATAAAAGTTATTTTACATTTGGTGGCCTCAAAATCTCGGAGTCTACTGGAAGACGTTGATACCAATGCTGTTGAGAGATTCAACAACGTGTTTGTCAAATTCGTTGAAAGCAAAAGAATTGATTTTGCTTCTCGACGATCGTATAAGGCGAAATGCTCTGCTGTTGTTTCCTGCAATACCAAAAGAACTCTTTACACCTGACATAAAAATAAATATTGGGAAAGAGCCATAGCTTACAAAAACTAATAGGAAGGAGAGAGCAAAAAGAAAAGCAAGCCAACTCTGTAAAAAATAAAATTAAAATTTTCGAGAAACAAAATGACTATCGTGGACGGTAGCTGCGTAAGATATTTCTGTCGATGAGTACAGTGCAGCGCCTGCAGATTTAATGACGAATCTGAAGACACTGGTTTGTGACCGGGAGGGAATACAAAACGGACCACACTACAACGCGAAAGCACTGAATGTTTATAAATCAAGAGTTTGATGATATGATGAGGTGCTAGGGTTAGAAAGACGACTATAAATGAAGGTAGTACAGAATTTTTCTTGTAGTTTTACTTTTACTCATTTACTCCAGCAGCTCAATTCATATATCTTTTGTAACTTTTTTAGTCAGGTATCAAATTAAAATTCTTTGCCATTCATTTCTATAACATTAATTTCATAATACGTTTGCACTGGTTTGATGACTGTTACTCAAATTATTTTAATTGTTGCACACTACATGTGGATTAATTGATTATTCTATATTTTTTATGATATTTGTTTTTACGTATAGATAACATTATACTTAAAGTTGTTACCTGTAACCCCAGAGGCATTCTTTGAATTCTTTCATTTTTATTTTATTAATTTGGCAATGGCATGTGATCGCACTAATAGGGGTGGTGGGGGCTTGGCGATCTATCTTAGATTCTTTCTACCTTTCCATTTAAAATTGTTAGTTCGTCATGTCAGCAACCCCCTATTAGTTCTGCTGAGAATTTGCTGATTGCGGTCTCCCTGTCTCAGAATAAAATCCTTCTTGGGGTTTTCTACAGTTCTTCTCTTTCTATAAACTATTTACTTC